AGTGTCAATTTTGCAATTGATATACCGGGGCTCCCATGGACAACTGTGTGCACAAGTGGGGCAGCCTCTTGCCAGAGTGACTCTGTTTTCTACCACCCATGTTTGTTCTGGTGCCCAAGCATTTCAATACCAGCAAAGCAACACCGAGTCCATGCAGGAGACCCCTTTCGTACAGGGAAAGTCATGGATCACAGTGAAGCTTGAATAACTATTCAAGAGTAATGTTAAATGTACACTACTAATTATGAGAAAACCAAATAACAAGGCACACAGATCTACATGACTCTCTGAGAAAGAAGTACCTAACTGTGAGAAGGAAGTACAAAATCTGTCTCGGACAAAGCCTATTCAAATAGAGCATGATGATGGAGTTCGCATTTAAGGGTTAGGAATCCGCTGTAGTGCTTTGAGGTCTACATATATCTCAAAGAGGAGATCTAAAATATAAAACACTTTGAAAGCCCCAAAGTGATTACCTAGCCAGAGACATCCACGGGTGAAAACTGTGACCAAACAGGAAGAAAGCTGCTGTAATCTACAAGCTAGAGGCTGAGATACAAGGCCTCAAGGAATAAAGGATGAGGACACAGAAAGTTAAGAAGGTAGCTGTCAAAACTCAAGATCATAGTGAGTGCAAAAGGCAATAGGCACTAGAAAATATAGCTAGAAAGACAGGTTGTAAAAAATTGAGCACAATGAGATAGAAAGGGCAGTCTTTAAAATTAGAAAAAAAGGCAGTTTTGAATGACAGATAAAAGTGATCCCCAAAATGCACCATTGTCCTGAAAGAGAACAGAAAAGGTTAAATTATAAAGTTCAAGAAAACTTTTCTAAAATGTATCAAGATGCAAGCTCATGGCTTGTATATCATTATGAAGATACTTCACAGTAAAGATGGGCTTGATAACTAAAACTGTACAATTGAAATCTAAACCCCAGAAACATTTCTCTGTATTAGACAAAATGGGGCAGGTTATGCTGCAGTAACAAATATCCACCAAATGTCAGTGGGTTGAAGCAACAAAATTCATCTCACAGTGATAGTGTATATCTACTGTGGGTAAACTACAGGACCTCTGCTCATTGTAGTAGCCCAGGCTGAGGGTGCAGCCCATGCATAATTTGCAATTACTGTGCCAGAGGGAAAGAGAGTTCTGGAGACCCCATACCACGGTTAAAAACTCTGGCTTTGCAGAGATAAATATAAGTTTTGTTCTCATGGTCCTCAGCAACCATGCTGGGACTAAGAAGTACAGTTGTACAATGTAGGTGGAAGTTGGAAAAATAGAAATATTTTAAAATAGCATTAATGACCATAAAATACCTAAGAGGGAAAGAGTGCTAGAAATACATTAAAATTTTCCTCTTTGTAAATATTTAATGTCAAAAGAGAATAACATGTTATCTATAAACTCCTAAGATGGAAAAAGCATTCCTCAAGAATTTTGTATGTGAGGGAAAAATTGTGTGGAACATGATTCCATATTCTGCTTAGTGTGTAGAAAGCTGGAAAGAGCACTGCCTCATGAGTACAAGAAGGAGCCTGGACACTGCCAATTCCCAACTTAAGATGAACCTATCAGACAGCTGAGTCTGTGGGCAATCAACTAAACTAAATCCCAAGGAAAAGATGGACCTTCCAAGGAAAGACATGAGCACTTTTCAGGGCAGATGCAGTCAGATACCAGCCTTAGTGGATGAGGTGGACAATATGGAAGATCGTTTAGGTCATTTGGCAGAGAGATGGAAACAATAAAGAAGACATGCTAAAAATAAAAAACATAGTCACAGAAATGAAAAATGCTTTTGATTGGCAGGGTCATTCCTAGCTGATGGGAAAATGACCATCAGTCACCATCCAGATGTCAATCAGTGTTACTGATCATGTTACCAGAGCACAAAAGATAAAGTATGGACAACTAAGCAGATGCAGGAAACACTGACAAAATTCAGCATCTACTCATGGTAAGCATACTCAACAAACCAGCAATAGGAGTGAGCTTTCATAATCCAATAATGGGTATCTATGAAAAGCTTAGAACTCATGGTTAATTTTTGGTGTCAATCACACTAGATTAAGGGGTACCTAGAGAACTGGTAAAACATTATTTCTTAGTGTGTCTGAGAGCGTTTCCAGAGGAGACTCGTGTGTGAATCTGAGTGGACTGAATGGGAAAATCCAATCTGAACGTGGGTGGATACCATCCAATTGGCTGGGGGCTCAGACAGAACAAAATGCAGAGGAAAGGTGCCTTCTTCTCCTCTCTCTCTAAAAGCTCTTCTCTTTCCCTGGGACATCAGGCCATCAAACACCCTAGTCTTTGGATGCCAAGACTTCTACCAATGACCCTTAGGTTCACAGGCCTTCAGCCTTGAATGGAGAGTTACACCATTGGCTTCCTTGGTTCTGAGGCTTGTAAGACTAGGACTGACTAGGGCTGCAGACAGATTACTGTCAGATTTCTCAGCCTCCACAATCATGTGAGTTAATTTCCCTAATGAATCTCCTCTCCTATATCCATATCTCACATATCCCGTTGATTCTGTCTGAGAACCCTAACACAGAATGGAAGATATAAAATTGTCTTTCTTTGCATATCACATGACTGTCTATATAGTAAATCCAAAAGAATCTAATAAGAGAACTATGAGAACTAATAAGAGAGTTTAGCATGATCATACGATGTAAGATCAGTAAAAAAAAAAGCCATTTCAATATACTGACAATGAGTAAGAAATGACTTTAAAGTTCCATAAAAACAGCAGCAATAAATGTGAAATGCTTTAAGCATAAATATTGCAAAATATGTTCAGACCCATTTACTGAAAACTACACAATGCTGATGAGAGAAAAAAACACTGAGGAAATAAAGACCCAAATGAATGGTCAGCTATATTGTGAATGTCAATTCTCTTTAAAGTGATATACGTATTCCATGAAATCTCACTCAAAATTCTAGCAGAATTTCTGTAGAAAGCTCGATCTAAAATTTATATGGAAATGCAAAGGACCTGGGATAGCCAAACTATTTTTGAAACACAACAAATCTGGAGGATAATGTACAGGTGCTCATTTCCCACAGTTCCTTGTCCTCTTGATCTCAGATAAAACTCAGAGCTGGCCCCCAAGGCCATGGTGTCTTACATAAGCACCAGGTTGGGAATATAGGAACAGGTGTCCTTTTTCCCAAACCCTAAATTTCTGCCTCTAGACCATTGGCCTCCTAACTCAATCATCATTTCTGCTTCCATTAAGCCTTATACCACTGGCTATAACTAGCTAACTATACCTATAACTAGTTAATTTTTTTCCCACAAACTCAGTATAAAAATTGGAACAGTCTCTATTTTGCCTTCAGTTTTTACCACTGTCCTGGGCAATTGGAACACCCATTGAGAAGAGCCACTGACTAGTCTCACTAGTTAACTGGGCTTGTCAGCCTTGACTTGAACTTCTAAACTTCAGTATTCTTCACTTTTTTCCATTTTGGCTACATAATACCAACAAGCTTTTCTCATCAGGGTACTAGAATAATGAATAAGGGTAACACAATAAGGCCACCAGCTCAACCTAGGCCTGAGCCTGCAATTTTAGAGATAGGATTATTTTTCCAACACCTTCAAGCCACTGTGCCCTCCTCAGGGATTGGAGATTCATGGAAATGGGTTGTGGAGCCCACTGAGTAATAGTGTCAAGGAGAACTCTAAGCCTCTGAAGGAACAGGCCAAACAACCCTATAATCCATTTGCTGAAGAGCAGGAGGTGACTTACAGGCTAAACTACATCCGTCTTTTACAATTTGGATGAGTGTTCCCCAAAGATCCATGTGTTAAAGACTTGGCTCCCAGGGAGACGCTGTTTGGAGGTAGTTAGGGCCTTGTGGGGGTCCTTATGATAGTGGAGGTGTCTTCAGAGGGGCTGTGAGTCCTGTCTCTTCTTTTACTCTCTGCCTTGTGGTGAGGTGAGTGATTTTATTCCACCCTGTAAACTTGCCATGATGTGCTGTCTTTCCATAGGCACAGAGCAGAAAGGGCCACTAGGAGGAGGTTCATGGATCTGAACCTCCCAAACTGTGAGCAAAATATCAATCAATCAATCAATCAATCAATCAATCAATCAATCCAACCCTCCCCAAAACACCACCTTTTTCTCTTGTAAGTTGATTGGGTGCATCCCCTCTCTCTATGCATCTCTGCTTGCTTCATAGCCACTAACCACCCTCAGAAAATTAATCACGAGCACTCAATTCCAGACAGCAACACTGCTTTTACTCCAGATTCCAAGTGGCTCTCTTTGGAGCCTCGATTCCTAACATACTGTTTTCTGTATATACACCAAGGCTCATTTTGTACTGTAAATACAATTTTACTACCAACCAAGAGTTCTTTTGACCATACCACATCTTTTCAAAAAGATACAGCACTGTTGTATTCAGGGAAAAGAAAAGAATTGGGTTCATTAGTCATATGTATTTTGAAGCACCCAATTTTGGTTTCAGGAATTATAAAAAACACTTGTGGGAAGAAAAGAAAGGGGAATAACATGAACATTATTTCTGTGTCCTTTTTTTGAAAAGACAGATGCCTTTCCAAGAGAATAGAAGGCCATGGATAATTATAAGATTTCTTTTTTCAAGTATTTTTTAAAAAGCAAAATAAATACTCATCTGATGATGTCACAGCAAAAATGTCAGAAAATCAATAGGATGTCTGGCATCATCGTTTGTAAAGAAGTCTGACAACTACTCACATCCTGCTCTGCATGTGTCAGAGGAAGGAAAATGAAATGGTGAAATGGAAAATGAGATCCTGAGAGCAACACCTTTGAAACGAAGATCGATGATCCTTTAACATGCTCTCTGGAAAGCTGTTTCCTCTGGCGTTGAAGCTACCTGCGTGAATGATGAGCTGATAGGAATCTATGTGTTAATAAATCTCCCTAAAGTGTCTGGAAGGCCCAGGGGGCAGTGCATGCACAGGCAGCGGCGCCCAGGAGTCACCTTCAAGGTCAGTCTCACAGCATTGCAGTTCTCCTGCAGCGGGTTCAGCTTCAGTGTCTCCCCAAGGTTGCTACAGCCAGATGACTGGTGCTGCAGCTCACAGCAGACACACACCTCCACGCTGTCAAACTTGATCTAGGCAGAGGACACAGACAAGTCACCGTCAGCAAGGCACTGGGCCCTCAAGGGTACACGCAGCAAGCGAGCAGCACAATTAAGGACACAAGGTCCATGGCTGAACATTTGCATAGCATGTGTGAGGTCCTAGGTCTAATCCTTAGGACCGCAAAGTAAATACATAAGTAAAGATGGTTCAGCTGAAAACATCTCATGTCAGTTATCCTTAAGTGATAAGGCCAAAATTATTTCTACTGACCAAGGCAAACACCATCAGGAATTACTCCAATTCCTTATTTTTAAAAGCAATGAATAAAAAAGAAAAAGTACATTTGAGGGAACCTAAGGTAGTAAGTTCCAGAGAGAGATAAAGTAAACTGTAAATCACTGATACAGATTACTGATTTATACACAGAGATGTAGTATCTAAGACTTAGCTCATTTTTCTTTCATGGTCAGAAATTTCCTGTCTTACTTCATGGATTATGAGATTCCTATTCATCCACTAAAACCTAACTCCACTTCCATCCTTGAGGCCTTGTCTGGCTTTCCATTCCTGCTTCTAGTGGACAGTTATTTTATCCATATTTATATGCTATTGTTACAGTATTCACAGGGCTGATGAATTATAAATGCTCAATGAATGCTGAATAAATAAAAACAGCTTGGAAAATTAAGAGCCATGGAAGGAAAGAAATACTCTCTGAATATTTTTTAACATTGTTGGACCAGAGTCTCAGTGATTGGGAAAATATCAATTACCAGTAGCGTCTGAGGGGAAAAGGGATTCAACAAAAACAAAGACCTAGCTGTAAAATAAAATCAGTAAGGTATAGGATTTTATTCAAAATAGCACAATATATGGAACCTGAGACTAGGAGATGCCCTACTTTTCAATGAATAATGATAAATGTTTTATATCAGCTAACTCAAACTACAAGCATTTTTAGACAAATATTGATCAGTTATAACTGTAACAAATGATTTTTCATTGTGTCAAGTATTGCAAAGGGAGGTGCTGCTATGAAACCTCCATGTGCCAATGTGCCTGCCATTCCTGAGCACCAGGTGTGGGGTGCGAAGTGCAGGTCCATGAGAGGGCCCGTCGCCCCAGAGGTGTGTGCACCCTGGGTGAAGCCCATCCATCACCTCTCAAGACCGGGTTCCTGGATTTTCCATTTGGCTTTGCATTCACTGGAACTTTGTTGGCTGGCACAACACTCACCACAAAGCCTTTCCATCGCGCTCCTACTGGCTCTTATATTCTAGTCCTCATCTGTACTTGCAATTTTTTAAGTACTCTTTCTCTTTCACTTTCCTAGGAGTGCTACGCTGTGCCTTTCCGCTTTCCGGCATCTATTCTGAAACAGAAGAGCTTAAGACGCAGGCCCCTGCCCTGCCCATGTCAAGCGGGCTTCGTGACGCTTTCACCAGGAGAAGACGGGCAGAGGTGATGACTGGGAGCCCAGGCCGCGACAGCCTTCCCGTTTCTGCGTCCTCCTCCCAGGAGTTCTGTCCTTCAGCAAGAGAGGACGAGACCAGGCCCCGAGAACCAGTGGTCCTCCAGCCTGGGCCCCGGAAGGAGACCATGGAGCAAGCCTGTGTTTTGCCCTATGGTATACAACACTTCCAAGAAAGGCCAAATTGTTTTCAAGATATTCAAACAAATCTTACTTCCACCATCAGGTATGAGAGCTCAAGCTGTCCCTCATTCTCACCAATGTTTGGCTGTGCTGGACGCACATGTAGGGTAGGTAATAAAACAGTACCTCATTTTGTCTATAGAGTGAGTAATAAAACCATCTCTAATTTTTGGCATTGGGCTTTTCATCTTTGCCCCTTTTCTTATCTATTCCTATGTGTGACATAACATGCACAAAAAGTACACAGAACAAACACGGACAGTTTGATGAATAATCATGAAGCAAGCACCCATATGACCACAGCCGACACCCTCCCCCTGCCAAGGACTCTCAAGCCTTATACCCTGTAGGGAACAGGGGAAGGGGACATTACCAGAACCTCTGCAGTAAGTCCTAGTCTCCTGCGAGCCACAGCAGCACACGGTGAATTACAGGAAAGGTAGACGAATGAGACTGAGAAGAAGCTGAGCTTTGGGTCTGATCAGTGCTGCTCTAGGCAGCAAAAGACAAAGCCCCCTAGCTTGCAGCACCTTTTATTTAGTCCATCCAAAGAAACGAATGTAACAAATGAATAATGTAGATTTCAGTATCATATTGGGGTGAACAAGGTGTAACAAAAGACTGGGTGGGAGCGGTGGAAATCTAAGAACAATGAGGAACTATGCAGATGAAGATTTAGTTCCTCCCAGGAACTACACAGATGAAGATTTGGTTCCTCCCAGGGCGTCTCCCACAGGTGTGGTCTTGTCCTGGAGGATTACAGCATCATGGGATCATTGAGATCTCCCTTGTGACCTGAGGCCAAAATGGAAGTATGTCTTGGAGTGTTATTGCTGGCCTGTAGGCAGGAGAACTAGGCCTACTCAAATGATTTTTCCCTAGAATTATGTAGCATTGCTCCCAACAATACCCGTCATCCCTCCCCTGTCCGCACCACACTCACTATCATGGTAAATATGTCCATGTTTCCATGTTTACACTTCTACCATTTACACTATCGTTTAGCTCAACCTGTTTTCCTAATGTGATATAAAAGCAATTGCACAGTATCATTTTGCACAGTATTTGGTTTCTTTCATTAAAAATTAGGTTCAGCCACATTGTTGCATGTAGATGTAGCTTACTGTTATGTCATATTACACTGCATAAATGAGCTGCCATTTATATGCCCGTTTTCTTGCTGGTGAGTTTGCCAGTTTTTGGCAGCTAAGACTGTTGCAGCCCTTGTCTCTTGGTACATATGCATGCACACTTCTTTGGGGACAATACGTCTGTTGAATGAAGCTATTGGATCTCTGGAGACCTTCAACTTTAGTAGATAGTGCACGAGCAATTTCTAGTGTGATTTTACCGATTTACACACCTGCCAGCACTGTGCAAGTGTTCTCCTTGCTCTACAACCTGGCTTATACCTGGGAGTTTCAATCTTTTTAATTTCTAGCCAGGAAAGCATTGGAGGAGGTAGTTCATCAAAATAAGAGATGAAGCCAAGGGAAGAGAGAAAGAGGGGATATAAAAGAGAAAAGAGATAAGGGAAATTTTAAGATAATGAGAAAAGGATGTCCTTTCATGACAAATATGTAGACTGCCTGTAAAACCAATTCATCCAGACTGAACCAGGAGACAGAGGCTCCGTGGCACTAGCTCTAAGGAGAAAATAAAGCTGACAGAACTCCTGATGGATAGATTTATATTGAGAGGTGATTTTCAGTTGTCTTGGAGAGTTTGAGATGAATCAGAAACAGGGACATGGTATACTAAACAAACAATAAAACAAAACAAAATAATTATAACCTCAGAACAAAAAACCAATTCTATATTGCATATGATTTTGTTGACTATGTGGCTTGAAAATATTTTCTTACATTCTATAGTTTCCACTTTCATCATCTTAACTGGATCAATCGTAAAGCAAAGATTTTAAATTTTGACAAAGTCCAACTTACTAATTTTTGCTTTTGCACTTTTGCTGTTGACCTCAGAACTTTTTGTTTTGCTGAAGATCCTAAAGATGCTCTCCTTTTTCTAAAGGATTTGTAGTTTAGTTCTTACATTTAAATTCACATCCATTTTCAGTTAATTTTTGTATAATATAGGAAGCTCTTGTTGAGGTTTAGTTTCTTTTTGCCTATCGGTATTTAATTGCTCCAATATTTGTGGAAAGGTTATGTTTTCGTCACTGAATTGCTATTGATCCTGGTCAAAAATCAATTAAGTATATCTGTGTCAGTCTACTTCTGGGTTCTCCATTCAGTTCCACTGATCTATATGTCTCTCCACGACGCACACACTAAGTTTGGGAATTGAATAAATTCATTTGTCCCATTTTATTATTATTTTTCAAGATTATTTCTTTGCCTTTCCACACCCATTTTAGAATTATATTGTCTATGTCCCCAAAAAACCTTGCTGGGATTTTGATAGGAACTGTATTTACCTGTGGATCAATTTGGGGAGAAATGACATCTTTATGATGTTGATTCCAATTCATGAGCACTGTATGTCTATTTAGTTAAATTTCTTTGATTTATTTCTTTACTGTTACGTGCTTTTCAGTGTACATGTCATGTATATATTTTGTTACATTTATATCTGTGTACTTTTGAGTGATTATAAATGATATTACATTTAAATTTCAGTGTCTATATTCTAATTGTTAATATAGAGAAATATATTAGAATTGTGTCTGTTTATATGTGTCCTGCGATCTTGCTGAATTCCCTGATTAATATTAGTTTTTGGTGTTTATGTTGTTTTTTAAAGGTTCATTGGGATTTTCTACATCATAGTTAGTTTCATTTCATCCTTGCTAAACTGCATTTTTACTTTTCTTGTTTTGTTGCACTGGTTTGCATTTCTAGCACTGTGTTCTATGTTGACCAGGAATGGTGAGGGTGACAATGCTTGGCCTTAAGAGAAAAGCATTGTGTTTTTCACCACTCAGTATGTTATCTGTAGGTTTTTTGTAGTCACTTTTGCCAGTTGAGAAAGTACTCCATATCTCTTTTCCTGAGTGTATTTTTTAACATTCAATACATGCTTGATTTTGCCAAATGTTTTTTATGCAACAACTGATACAATCATGTTCTTCCTCAGTCTGTACATATGGTGGATTAAGTTAATTGGTTTTTAAATACTGAACCAACTTTGCATCCCTGCAATAAATTCCACTTTGTAATGATGAATATTATCCTTCATATATATATTTTTAATTCAATTTGGTATTATTTTGTTAAGGATTTTTGCATCTATCAATAAGGGATATATAATTTTCTTTTTCTATATTATTTAGGGTTTTAGTAGCATAATAATTCTACTTTCATAAAACCAATTGGGAAGCGTTACTTTATCTCCTATTTCCTGGAATATTGTGTA